GCTACTCTTTTACCAACAAATAGTGGGATTGACCGTCACATTATAACGCCTCCACGACTGAAAGGGCGAGCATATTTGGTGTGACGGGGATTCGAACCCGCGATCCGCAGACTGCGAGTCGAGCGCAATACATTTATAACTCATGTTAAAATCAATCCCTAATCTCTTTTTCTCTACCGTAGAGAATGATAGCATTAACAAAAGCAACTAGTAAATATATGCTCATTTAGTACCTATGATTATGATGAGTACAAATCAAAGTAGAGTTTTATGAAAAGCTTGTTAGTACACCTGGTCATGCCGGGCCCCCCTGTATATGACATTTTTCTCTACAAAAACACTTTCATTTCCAAGCTTTACTTTCTGGTCTAATTCAAAAAAGGAAGTTTTTAATCTCAGGAAACATTTGAGCTAGAAGAAATCAAATAAATTTACTTAATAAGAAATTTAAGCCCCTCAGTGGTATGCCTGCGGACTTACAACGCTAGAATCCGGGTTTCGATATCGTGGTGGGCAGAGCACAGATAGCCCATTGTGTAGCTTTGTGCTTAATTACAAACAAACAAAAAAGAAATTTAAATTCAAGCTAAACAAATTTTGTAAATAAATGAAAGCCATATAATAATATATTTGCAATTTTGTTGGAAACTTTGCCAAAGTATAAATTAAATATTTTCTCGTACAACTTTATACCTGTAGTTTCTCAATTTCTTTACTCTGAATGGCTCTTTATATTAACATATGAGAAAGGTTGTTGAATCTAATCACGTATTATGTTGTATATTACTTCTTAATATAAATATATTAGTTCAACTAAAGCATTAAGAATTTATCAGTCCAGTATTTACGAAACATCATCTTTTTTGTCTCATATAGTAGAAATACACACACATATATATGTCTATTAACAGGAAATGATGGAAGAAAATGACGAACAAATAGCCAATAAAAACACCGTATATTTTAGAGATGGAAAGCGGAGAATTGATTTTGTTTTGGTATATGAGGAATCATTCGACCCAAGTAAGGATGAAAAGAGAAAAGTATTCGAAGAAAATCTTGAAGCAGAAGGGCTAGAACTTGAATTAGAAGACAAGTCCGTAAGTATTTTTGTCAATTGAAGTAAGCTTACACCCAATTCAGTTTTAGCTATACTAGGGACAGATTAAGCAGAAACATGTAATAAGTTTTTTACCTGATGTGTTTAAAAGTAATTTTGGGAAAATTTCAGTTCACCGCGCATATAAATTAACTATAACTTATATATATGTTATATACATGAGAAACTAGAAAAAAAATAAACTGTTTTAAATAGAAATGGATTCTCTCAAAATACGGTTAACTAAAATTATTTTTAAGTACGCTGATAAAGCTCAAGAGATAAAACAAATAAGATTCAACGATCGGTAACTATGGTGTAACTTTGAAGGAATAAACATATTTTAGATGAAAGAAATAAACTTAGCAGAGTAATATCGACACATATGTTAAGGATTATAAAGTGAAACAAGTTGAATAAATTTGTTTCTTTACATTTTAAGCTGTTTTATTTTGCGTTTTTAAATCAATTTTATTTTGGGACCATCTCCAATAAGTATTATATCACAGAAGTTATGTTCTAAATTTTTAAAAAAGATCTATTTAGTCAACTATTTATTGAATTCAAACGCTAAGTTTCTAAACCAAACTGTTGCAGGTGTTTCCCTCTCGTGCAACTCACGTATCTGAAAATGGATTGCTTACTACGAATGTTTGTTAAATTACTTATAAGAGTAGTTCTTTAGCTATATTGACCCTAACACATCTAAAAATGAGAAATAACCGAGAACATTCGGAATGATAATAACTATTATATGTGAACTGGAAACAGGAACCACGAATAGGGGGAACAACATAAATATTGAGCTGTCAGAATCAGCCTTTTCAGCATTAATTCAGGCTTAAACTTGTAATGCAACTCGAGAAACAAAACAAAAACACTGTAATAGTGTACTTATAGAAACATGCTGTAATAGTGCTATTACGTAAATAAATACTGCAATAGAATAATACTAAAAATACATTATATCAGTACTATCACAGAAACATACTCTAATAGCATTCTTATAGTCATTGCCACATTAAAGTACATTCTGAAGAAAATAAGAAAAATACGGTTCACCTATGTTGTTTTAAGGTCTGTGAGACGGACTGTTCGTTCGTTTATTTTCATTAAGCGCAAAACTGTACAATGGGCTACCTGTGGTGTGCCCACCTTAGGAATAAAACTCCGAATTTTAGTGTTATAAGCCCTTTTACCATTGATCCATTGAGAGGAAAGAAATGTACTGGATAAACGCTACGAGTTTTTGCCTATCAAGAAAACTTTGTTGCCAGAGGGTAAAATATTTTGAAATTAAGTATGTTTACGATCTCGTGGCTTACTAATTCATTAATAAAGCCACTTCACCACGTAATTATGTAAATCATATACTGATGTTCCATATACAGAAAATTAGCTTTAGCGACAAGACACAAGTTTATAACATTAATATGAACTAAATGCCAGGGTCAGTAATGCATTCTATACATTCTGTACGTAAATATCTGACTTATTTCACAACATGCACATTGGCAGACATTTTCATCACAATAAATATTCGTAAGTGTTCTACAGTACTGATATTTTAGATTTTAGACTAATAAAATGTAGAATAAATAAAAATACATGCTGAACAAGAGTTTACAAAGAGAGCTTTAGGAAGAGTTAATAGAAATAACCAGAGCTTAACCAAAGCGTCATGGGAGTCAATAAACAGATCATTATCCTTTTTTTATGTCATTTTTATGTGGTAACTGGACAAAATAAAGCTGGGTTTGGATATGTATGCTTGGGGGAAAAGTAACAGTATGCTGGCTTCGGTTTAAAATGAAAGATGAGTGCTTATTTCTATGTGTTATTTGAAATTCAATTGAATTTTTCCTTTTGTGAATTTCACCTATGGAAATAGATATTGTCTAACAGCTACAGTAAGATACAACTGGGCAGTCCTGAAATATTTAAACGATGTAAATAAAAATATCGCAGATCTGAAGTTATAATACTTGTTTGGATCACTTTCCAAAACAGAACCTAATACTCACCACGCTAACGTATATTTAATTTTTCACTTTAAGAGAAGAAACGAAAATAAATGTGACGACAGCATTTTTTCTTTTTCTTTCGTTTAAGCGATCGTTCGATGGCAAGACTTACTTTCTGAAGCTCCATGCTCCTTCGGATTTGCTAAATCGTTATACGGAAATAATGAATATAAAGAGGCCACTAAACGTAAGCGTTATTTCGAGAGTTATTATTTTATTAATATATATTTGGGAAATATTTGTTGTACACGTAATACAAACAACTCGCTACATAATAACTTAGTAATAAAGTAAAAATTTAATGTCAAATATATTTTGAATGTTAATATAGTTTGCAAACAGTCTGAAATAGACTCAAAGATTTAAAGCAGAATAAAAAATTGTCTAATCCTTGCAATACGTCGTTTTAGACTTTATAATGATCAGGTTATAGTTAAATAAATACATTTATTGATTTGGTTCTATGGATATCAATTCGCGCTATTTTTTTTCTGGAGGTGGTTTATCGACATACTATCATAGTTAAGTTTTCATCAGCGTTTAAAGTGGCTTAGAAAAGATGCCGGTAATCGGCGGTATGCACGTATTGAGGTAAAACATGCAATATAATTGCAGGGACACTAAAACCAAACATATTTTTTTACTAAACCAAACAGATGCGGACAGGGTGTGTTGCAGCAGTATAAAGTTTTTTATTTCTTTTTTTTTCTCGCCACTTTCTTTGTTTTTCTTACCGGCATCTACTGTCACACTTTTAATTACTGCTTCTTTTAAAATATAGATATCTTAAGTAGAATTATTTGGATTTTGTTTACCAAGATGCATCAAAATTCATAATCACAAATTTTGGACATCAATAAGCTAGACATTTTAATTAAAACTATAACTTTTTGAATAAAATGTACATTAATGAAAACAAAATGATATTACCAATCGACTAGATATTTAATTACTTAAATATAATTTTAAGAACGAATTCTTAGAATGCAAATAAGATCAATAACAATCGTAGTATTATATTCAACATAAAATACAGTAATTATTATGCATGGAGATTTTTTGCGGAGGAGGGTTGATACTTCACTAATATGAGTGTTAAGAAATAAACTTTGATGTGCTATCACTAATTATAAAAGGCTTATTCCCTTTTTTCACTCTGTCGAGAACGCTTTCACGCTCCTTTTTTTTGGTAATGCTCAACACTCTTAGGTTAACTATAGTGTTTATGTTGTATGCTCAGTATTCATGTTGCTTTGTTAGAAAGGTTTGTTTTATATTCTATATTTTTATTACTTCGGTGATATAACAGCAAAATAGTTTAATTCAGAGTTAATATGGCACTGAGTTGAAGCCAAAAGCAAAATAAAATTTACGAAGTAGTTTTTCAGCTAAGCCTTACATTACGTTTATGTATTAAATTAGACTACAAATAGGCCTACTATTACTAACGCTATTGAGTCAGTGTTTAAAAAAACTTTAAGTGGTGAGTAAATGTTAACCAATAAATATTCTTTTGGTATTTTAACACATATACTACCTACTTGGCCTTAAAACATAAAGAAAAATAAACATTTATTAACATCAAATATCTTACAGTCGAAAGAGTTGAAAATTGAGTGCTATTTGAGTCTCTTCTCAGAGTGCACATGTACTTTTGTTCACGATAATATTTCTTTTTTCTGCGTAGTTTTTAGTAAAAATGTGGTGATTAAAGAATTATTTCGAGACTAGTGAAATGAGTGAAGAGAGATACATTTTGGAGGCACAGAGAAATTGGTTTTAGTTAAATTCTATAATTTTCGTTAAACATTCATCAATGGTTTACCGACAATTTTACTGGCTTTTACACTAGTTGAGAAATGAAACTTAATGTGCTGTTAAGAAACGAGAGTTAATGTCTTGTTGAGAAGTCAAAGGAATCCCATGTTAACAAATTCGTTTATTTAAAATTTCCCAAATAAAGTAAATTTTATACGTCTACCGTGTTATAATTTTTTAATTATATATCTGCTTAGAAAGGCGTTCGTTCCTTAGTATATATATGTAGTATTGTCAAGTAGTACATAAACTGTCATTAAGCCATCAATATATAACCATATATGTGGATTTCTACTTTATCGTTTAAATTATCATTTATATATATTTCAGCCAGTATCATACATTGCTTATTGTTTTTTGCTTTGTTTTTTGAAGTTGGTTATTCCGATCTCAGTTATCAAAAAGTTAATCACAGATATTAAAAGTAACACTAGAGTGAAACATTTGGTTTCTGGCGTATTAATGTAGTAATTTGTATGAAAATGCTTTTGAACAGTAAAATTAACTATTTTTCTAAATTTAGATTTAGACAATAAACAAAGTTGCTTAAATTGTGAAACAGATCGCACGTACATTCTAAAGAAAATGAAAAACCACAGCACCACCTGGCAGAATATTTGAAGTGTTAAAATTTAATGTAAAAATCGAAAACAAAACATAAACTAAACAGGAGTATATCATTAAATGTAAAATTCGTATTTATTCTTGAAGTAAAATGTCAAGATTCCTGATAATGAGAAAGTATAAAATATCAAATGAATCGGTGACAGAGGATTTGTTTGTTTGTCGTTAAGCACAAAGCTACACAATGGGTTATCTGTGCTATGATCACCACGGATATCGAAACCCGGTTTCTAGCGTTGTAAGTCTGCGGACATACTGCTGTGCCACCGGGGGGCGTGACATAAAAGATCACAAAATTCACTATAGAGTGTTGAAAGTTATTACAAAAACCTTTCTGCTCTTAGTTGATAGTAATAGATTTCTTGTACGGAAGAAAGCTGTTTTCAAAAAAAAAGTCAAAACTCAGTTTGTATAGAATAAAATTATTTAAATCCACGATTATTTGGTGAATACGAGGCAGATGGAGAAGAGAGCTGAACATGCTTTAAGAAAACCAGTGAAGAATTTTGTTTAGCAAAGACGTGAATAGGATTTT